TCCAAGCGTTCGTCAGCAACCCAACGCTATCTGCCAAGGATCGCTCTGCGGGCCTCGCTGTCATATATTCTCGTGCAGAAGGCTCCAAGAAGGAGCCTGTCTCTGACATAACAAAAAACTTGTTCGGTGTCCTGTCGGAGAATGGTAGACTCGGAGAGACGCAAGGTGTTATCGAGGGGTTCAATGAGCTGGTTGCAAAGTACAAGGGAGAACTGGAAGTTGTTGTCACGTCTGCTACTCCTCTACCCAGGGATTTGTCCTCCCGGTTGGAGACTATCCTCAAGCAGTCTCAGACAGCTCAGCAGGCAAAGTCGCTGAAAATCTCCAACAAGGTACTTCAATTTTGTTCATAACCTTTTCAAGTCAGTTTTAACGAGTTTTAGGTGAACCCGTCAGTCCTCGGCGGTATTGTAGTGGACTTCGGCGACAAGAGCATTGACCTCAGTGTCTCGTCGCGTGTCAACAAGCTCAACAATGTTCTGCAGCGTGAGTTTCCCTTGTCTCTACATAGTTCAATGGCTGATTCCTTGCACAGAATCCGTATAGACACGCATCTCATAGAGGAGATTGCCGGTGGCCGGGATTCCCCAACCTCACAAAGAAAAGGAAAGCTTAGTCGAGTATTTCTGTTCTTACCCAGCCAATACAATCGCGCTTTAGAAAACATGCCCCTCGCAAAGCTGGTATTGAAATCTTTGCTGGACATCGATAGTATGAGGTTGACGTGCTCGAGTAACTGATCTACATGCAACGGATCCAAATGTCTTTGGTTGTCTCTGATCCCCGAGTGAACTCAAGTCGCAAGATAATTTACTACAGGGTTTTCTCAATAACGAAATTTTCCAGTGACGCGCTACCTACCATAGTGGCTTCTGTATTTGCTCCCCCATCAGCCTCAGGGCTGAGTTCCGCAGCAACAGTCATGAACCTAAGTAAACATGATAAGCCCCATCAATCAAGATGTCACGGTACAGTTCAAAATCAGGACTTACTGTGCAGCATGTGTACCAGCCAGAACTCTCATGGCGTCCAAGTCTGTCTGAAGTTGTTCAAAGAGGTCTGCTGTTTGCCCGACAGCGCGTGACATGTTCTTCAGACTAGCTGCGAGTTGGCTATATAGCCTGTCTTTCGCCTGAGTTGCATTCATGAACGCAAGCGAGATCTGACACTCTAAGCCGCTAATGGTGGTCGAAAGAGCTCACGTGACAGGTAAGGAGACCGCTTATGCAAGCGTACGCCGTAGATGGATGGCGGCCAAATATTCATTCATTCGCGAATTTAAACAGACGCAGGTACCTTCAGTTAGGCCTCCAGCAGCTCCCTATGATACTTCGGCTGTCAGGGCCCTCCAAAGCGCCTCTTGACTTAGGGTAGACTTTTGATTCTTCGAGTCTGTATAATTACATGGATACAAATATGCAGCACTTTCTGTGAAAAATGATTTCTTTCCCTTTCACTCAATAGTTACTTTATTCTGAAGCCAAGCCATAACGTTAGAGCGGAAGAACCCCATGAAGATAGCCTTGCCTTGTAGAACGCAACATGATCCTTGATATGCGATGCTTTGGTTTTTGGATCCGCGTAGTACCTTTGGATGATAACTTAGCAGACCAGTCCGGCCTGGCAGATACACTTCAATTTACCATGCGATATCTTTCACATTGTCACCATGAATCTGTGCAGAATAGTATGACGCTGTCCTTCAGGAAGATTCCGTCAAAACAAGTTCAGCGCTGAGCAACAGTCGACGGACCCGGGATGCTCACCCTTTCCAAGCACACTCAGTGCTGACTCGGAGCACTTGAAGTTAAATGTGCATCAACATTATATCAACGATACTGCCTTACCTTGTATCTGAGGAAGCGAGGAGTGATTTATTGACAGACTCAGGGGGGAAGTAATAGTTGCCTTCCACCATGACAGGGTTTGAGTGCTCGGCAAGTATTTCGTCTCTGTAAGTTGCTTTTACCATGATTTAAAATTTAACGTTTATGGGCGCTGTGATTAAGTTGTGTTAGCCTGAGATAGTGTTTAAGTTGGGCCAGCTGCTAGTGATACGGCACCCTCACCGTGTCAATGGCGCAGGCACTTACATGCCAGGTAGTTCCAACCTATACTTATCAGTATATACAAGATCCGGACCAGTATTGTTGTAAGTAGCTGCTGTGCCGTGGAGTAGCAAGATCAAAGTCGGAATTTGGTGTCGTTTGGACAAGGCCGCCAGTTAGTAGATGACTCGGCAAAATCCGGGTGTGCAAGGTGTCGGCTCATAGTTGGGTTGGTCAGACTCCTCCCTTCGGTATATATATTGACCACGCCAGCATAAAGTCTAACAGCGCTTCGAGCGACCCCCTTTGTGGGGAAGAGATATGCAGACGCGAAAAGCAAAATGGACCGCAAACAGCATGATCGGTGCGCTATAACTACTGCATACGCTCCATTTTCTGAATAATATCGGCTTTCCGCATACAGCTGGTGCTGGAGGTGGTCTGGTTGCCAGCATCGCGACCTGTCCGCTCGACGTCATCAAGACCAAGTTACAAGCGCAACGTACAGTCCAAGGGCAGCAGGGTTATCAAGGGGTCCTCGGTATGTTCTCCGGTCCCTTCATCTCCGTTCTCATCTCCCTTATCATACCTGACACCCCCCCTGCAGACATCGTGAAAACAACCCTCAAACATGATGGAATACGCGGCATGTATCGTGGTCTTGGCCCCACAATCTTGGGGTATCTTCCAACAATGGCTATCTACTTTGCGATATATGACGGGATTAAGACGCGCTTCGGAGAACCTCCGCTGGGCCAAGTGCCGAAACATGACCGAGTATACCCTGCTGCACAAACTAAGGGCTACCAGCCCGTGATGCGCGACCACCCGTGGACCCTCCACATCCTTTCCGCCATGATCGCCGGTGCTGCGAGCACAACCTGTACCAATCCACTATGGGTCATCAAAACACGTTTCATGGTATGAGTTTTAGTTCAATATCAACTTCCTACAACCCAATTTACGAACTTGCCAACCCTGGCTCATGCGTGCGATAGACACAATCAAGACGAGAAGTTAGATACCGACATACCTTCGATGCAGCTTTCGCAATATACCGCACGGAGGGCATCCGCGCGTTCTACCGTGGGCTCCTACCCAGCCTTTTAGGAATATTTCATGTAGCCGTCCAGTTTCCCCTATATGAAAAGCTCAAGATATGGGCCCGTGAGTAGCAGTTACCTATTCTGCATCACAATTTTGAAAGAAATGCAGAGGGTGACTCCGATGAGCCGCTACGGAGCGACACAATATTGCTATGTTCTGGCATAGCGAAGATGGCTGCATCCATTGCAACGTATCCACACGAGGTTGTACGCACACGGCTGCAGACGCTCCGATTACCAATAGCTGAGGATGCATCTTCGGACGGCATGGTGAAAACACATGCACGCCGCGGAATCATTTACATAACACGCAAGATTATTCAGAAAGAGGGCTGGACGGGTCTTTACAAAGGTCTTTCAGTCACCCTGTTCCGAACGGTGCCAAATAGTGCCGTTACACTTTTAACGTGCGTTAAAGACCGTAGCATAACCTCACTCTCCGTTGACATAATTGCCAGATATGAACTGCTCATGCGTCACCTTACGGTTCAACAATGAGATATAATTGCACCTATTGCGCAATTGTATATCGGCATTCATCTGCCTCAACCTAAGAGGAAACCGCTTTTTTGAATACGATGAGTTCAAGACTGCATTTAGAAAGACCTTTTCATGTATAGATTTATAACTCAGTGTATAATATCAATATCATCGTGAGCGCATTCCTTTTACCTCGGGTATCATTCGCCTTCCTTTGCTCCGTTCCTTCTGTTGCAGTAATATCTGTGCTATAATCGACGTTGTAATTGGCCGGGGCCACATAGCTTTGCTTGGCGTCCTCCCACTTGAAGATGCGACCATGACATTCTCATACTTTGCCAGCGGACAGTGTGTGTGTTCAATCAGGATTAGGTTCAAGTTCCACAATAAAATAGAATGATGCGCCTCTTTCCCTTTCGTTAAGCGAGGGTTCCATTTCAGACGCACCCTTTATCCGGTGTGTGTATGTGAAGAGAGCGATGTAAACGTACACCCTTGCTGTTCTAACCGGGTATTTCCCGAAAAAGAGAACTTGTATGACTGAGAGCACCAATACCAAAGAAATAAAAGCCATACCCCGATCCAGTCCAAATCAAGGAGACGTCCGTCTCCCTTCCGTATAAGATCCAGACCGATCAGACTGTATACGCGATGTTTGTGATCGTTTCATCATCATCATTATTAAAGGAGAATCTGCCTAGTCATATGGTAACCCAGATGGCATATATGGTCAACAAGGTTTTGGCACGAGCAAAAAAAGAAAAATGAGGACTGTAAAGATGTATGAGAAAGCGTTCGAAAAATCCAAGTGTGCGTCCGTCCTCCCTGAGTAAGGAGCGTCCGTCCCAGCTGGCATGGTCCACATGCATGCCGAAAATTGATTGTTGGAAAGAGCGTAAGCAGTTTGAAGATGAGAGGGCATGTGATTCGTGGGCGGCATACGGGCAGGGGTGGGAAGACGTGACCCGTCAAGTATATGCAATCACAGCTGTGGGTTGCAATATATGGGTGCAAGGAGTGGCAGGATGGTGTCCGTGGGGAAAATACAGGGCAAGTGCTGGGAGTAGGAGCAGGGTAGGGAGTAGGAGTCCGAACGAAAAGTCTAGTGCGACTACCACAAATTACCGAGGACCACGATAACAACGGATGTATGGTAAAAAGCCAGCCTTGCAATGAAGGAAAAAGGTGCGGTGGAATGGAAAAGCGAAGGCTACAGAAGTGGTGTGATGCGGGTTAGAAAGTGCGAACTAAACGGCGATGAAGGTGGGACAACAATATGAGGGCTGCGAAAGGTATCCGAAAAAATATACAATCAACGTTGAGAGGTCGAAAGTGAAATAAAGTAAAGTAAAGCGCACAAAAAATCCTAGTGATCTTGCACTGTATCACCAGTCTCACTTAGAGTTTCCACTTTAACTCCCCGTGATGAACTGACACTTCGTATGTCTCGTCCTTCTTCTGCTAATTCACGACTCATGATCGCATCATCTCTGTGGTCCTCGGCCTCCTCAACAGTGGGCCCTGCAAAATCAGGTTTGCGCAATGCTTTCCTAAATGCATCCGCCATGATGGCTGCATCGGCTCCTGAAAATGGACCGGTGTCGCCTGCAGAGTGGGCCCGTGAGATATCGGATGCACCATCCGGAGATACGATCGATGCAGGCCGATGCTGTTCTGATGATGTCCGGCCAGCCACCGCACCTGCTATCCCAGCCCCCAACAACGGTAGTTGAGGAGAGTTGGAGTTCTGGGCATTGGCCATCATCGGAGACGAGGAACCTATGGACCCTCGATTCGAGAGCTGTCCACGTCTTCGTAGACGGCGCACGATTAACCAAATCAAGACACCGCCAGCTACGATGGCGAGAAATCCGAGTACCACGATGACTGCTATTGCCCAATGAGGAAAAGGTGGACTTGAGTTGTTTGACTGAACATTTCCCGATGGAAGCGACGATGTCCCAGATGCATGTGATAAAGACGCTGATGACAGAGCAGCCGCAGATGACGATGCGGCGGCGGCAGATGACGACGCGGCGGCAGCAGATGACGACGATTGCATAGACGAAACAACAGCATCTGCATATGTAGTTTCTTCACGAACATGTTAGTTGGGACATAATAGATTGTGCGACACAGACGCACGAATAGCCAGGAACGTTGGATTTGTGGTGTAAGTGCCATTGTCCAGACCATTCTGATTGGTCACTACCCAATAAAATGGGTATGAGAAATTCTGCCCTGGCGTCCATGAAGTGCCTTTGCTTCCGAACCAAGTATCATTCACTTCTGCATTCATTTCGCCTGCACTAGTGGTCGGATTTTGTTGTGTGAAATTGAGAATGGGGGAGTTCGTATCGGCATCAAACAAGTATAGCTGGACAATATTGAACTGCGAAATTTGCGGCCGTCTACTGTTCCCTGTTATCGCGTCAATTTCAATGGGGCGAAAACGAGATATGGAGATGCTCACAGACAACGGGTGCCCACTGGTGCTGAATCACAAGATTACCTGCGTTTGGATAGCAAGTCACCTGACTATTATCAGCGTATATTTCACATTGTGTCTCGGCATCCGCTAGCGTAACAAACACAAGACGTTAGCGCAGAATACGAGTAATGAGGGAGACGCGACTGCTCGCGTCCGGAACCTCGCATAACCACATTGTACACGCACCGAGCGCACTCTCATTCGAGATGATAGTTCCTTGTCTCCTTCCCAGTGATGAAGACCAAGAAGATCCTATGTCAGGTCTATTTCGCTTCGATGACGAATATGATGACGATGGTGGAGCTGTCTGAGCTGGCCAAGGAGAATTCTGGGATGGGTTGGGAGACATTGCAGGAATTTGTTATCAAGAAAAGATACAGTAGCCGATATTGAATGAAAGCCTGAGAGCTAGCAGTTCGCTCGTTTCTTCAAGAAGAGGCGGAAAGTAAGTGCTGGTATGGCTGGGAGGAGGTGGGATATGTTATTGGTTGCTTTACGACCTTGAATCTTGGGGGGAATAGACCAATTGACAAGGAAACGGGAGTTGACGGCCTTGTCAACGTCAAGCGCAGCGACGACGACGTTCGGCGACGACAACAGCGACGGGAATGACGCAGGGGACGTCGAGCAGGGAGTGAACAGAGCGAGCACTAGGTTGCAAAAGGTGAGTGTCCTGAATTCTCAAAGACCCTGAATACTCCCGCTTACATAATTACCCCCTTCCCTTTGTTCGCGCGCGGCTCTACTTGTCCGCGCGTTTTGGGAAATCTGCCTCGCTTTATTCATAAAATCTGATTCCCTCGGTGTAGCTCCCATTTACACTGCCATCTGCTACTTGGTTCATCAAGATATGATCATTTCGTTTAGGCGGAAGATTTGAAAGCTCGCCGTAGGCAACGGATATTGTTAAGCGCGCGTTGATATATGAGAGGTGAGGTCATCATCACCATCACATGGAAGATAAATGGGTATCCCGCAGTCACCTGGGGACCAGCACAGCTCAGAGAGAGAGATAGCTTGCAACACAAATCATACGATGTGTTTCGCAGATGCGGCCACAATCGGCTGCTAAAAGTATAACCGTGACAGGGCACAAAATTCCTCAGCTTTTAGATGTCATGATGCTATGAAGTGCTGGTTCACATGCATGGATTAATTTGCGACACGGCGAAGCTTCACCAGAGTTACCACTCACTGCCATCTGATTTTGGCGATGCCACCGGAGAAACACTCATCTTGTGCAAAATACAGATTTTCACGCTGAGATCAAAGATGTTCGAATTACTGACAATCCAGGGTCGTGCAAGTAAAGACTCGAACGAAGCTGTCAGTGTCACTTGACTTGATCGGCAAATCGATGCGGGCTAAACTGGTCTTGATACCGGAAGAACTTGTCCTCAACAGTAACTCCGCAAAACATGTCGCAGAAGAAGTCGAGAATAACAGTAACCTGGTCCCTGTTTTCCGTTTGCATCCACGGAGGCAAACATCGACTCCAGAACAACCTTTTGATTGAAGAATGGACAGGGTCGATTGATGGATAAGTTCGGTCGTGATCATATGATGATTATCAGTGAAACGTTAGGAATATCTGGTCAGCACCGATAAAAAGAATCCTGAGTCTAGAAGCACGGGATAACAAGTGGGGAAAATTACATACATAGCCAGGTTACCCGGATCTCTCAGATATGAATGTGGGTCGAGGGAGGAATAAGTTATCGGACCAGTGGCATTCCCACAAAAGACTTGATCATTACATAATATTATGATTCTAGCGTATGACAAGTTTGACTGAACGAAAAACACTAGTTCCTGTGATCATCTTACGTATACTAGGTCATCAGCTGGTGAAACGGCAAGGTGGTCTTGAGGTGCGTAATTGTTGTCGTAAGACGAAAGCTCCACGTGCACCAAGGCGAGCATTGTGTTTTAAGTAGGAGAAGGCATTCATTCATCAGAGTCACTCGAGCATCAGAGTCGACCTCCAACCGCTAGCTGGTCGCTAGTTTTGCAGATTTATCATTTCGTGTGACATGGCAGCATCAGACCGGGGTCACACACTTCTACTCAGCAGCTTGGGGAGGTCAAACACCACCAAGACTCCATTGTCGACTATTCAGGCCCTCATCGTCCACTACCTCGCAAATATTCGTCCTTCTCCAACACCTCTCGCTGCCACTATTGTCAGCAGCCCTGTATTCCTTCCGTTTTCGCATTCAAAACTAGAAGCTTTGAGTACATCTTTCCGACATGCAGTACATTCAAAACTACAGGCACTGAAAGCGGATTCAAACGGACTGTTTTCTCCCAGCTTAGACACTCAGCTCAACGTCTGGTCCCTTGCTATCTTCCAAGGTCTCGAAGGTGGAAACGCCATTATACGATTAGCCTGCTGTAGCGGACTTCTTCTTGGCCTTGAGGATATCCTGCAGCATTTACCAGCGAAGAAGCGAGACGTGAAAGGCATAGCCGAAGATGAACTGGTAATGACCTTTGCAGACGTTATTGACCAGTTCTCAACGTCTGATACATGGGGAAAAGAATTCCATTCTGCCGCTGAATCAGGTACGTGCTCAGTGCATCGGCAACTATTCTGTTGATGTGAACCCTGTTCTTATAGCTAATGCTCTGGCATTGTCACTCATCATAGCTTCTCAATCTCTTCTGTTGGTACCCTCCCAGAAATTCACTGCGCTCCCCCTTTCCGTGAGTCCGCTTACGTGAAAAGTTCGCTTATACTAATGTGCCAGCGATCAGCATCTATTAGGACTAATTATGCGCACCATCGAGGATACCTTCGATGGTGGAAGGTTCCTATTTTCACTCCAGTCTTCGTTATGTTCTAAGGCAGAATTTAAAATTCATATACCTGTCAGTGGCCCATGTATATTTATCTCCCTAAACTAACATTCATACAGCAAGATAGTCCAATTTCAACATCCATCAATATTGTATCAAATTCGATTTCGATGGCTCACATTGGTTCAATATCCAAGTTGTGCGCTAGAACTGTATCGCTCTTTGTAGATCATAGGCCAAACGTCGCACTACCCCTAATCTCGGAAGCGTATCAGAAACTCAACTCTATCACTGTCCACGTTGAAGCCGACTGGTTTCCGACCTCGCTGTCTGGAGCTACAGGCCAGAGCTTGTTGTGTGAGAGCCTCGTTGGATTAATAACCGTACAGCGCTCATCCATACTTAGCACCAGACGCCAGGGAAGTTGCAACCGTCATATGGGCGACTTTGAAAACACTCCTTTTCAGCGTGATTATGATCACAGAAGCAGGTCTGTCTGCTTTGGTCTTCATCCCCTCCACTTCCGCTGTTCTACCATCGACTTCGACGCTCGCAGTAATTGTTCTGCAAGCGCTTTCACACCTGTCATTTGTTATCGCGCAGTTTGGTGGTTCAGGTCACGGTGCTTTCGATGAGCTCAAGAGGTTGTTTTACCTTGCACTGGACGTTCTCGGAAGTGATGTAATAGAGAGCAACAAATACGCCCGACACCTTTGTGTCGTCGAATCGGGCCTGGAGCCACTTCCGGCTCACCCTTCCTATCAAGCCAAAAAGGCCTTTGCGCTTTCAGCAATTGAACAACTTATTCCTGTACTTAACGAATTGACTATCCAGGAGCTTGTACTCCCTACGTGCCTTTCGTAAGTCTCATCCTCCACATATAAAGTGATTCACCCTTAACACGTGGTAGGCACCTGTCTGACGCTAGTCACCGCGAGATATTTGAATCCGCACATAGTGTCGTCCTTGCCATCTTCGCTTCGCATGCGCAGAAGGCAAGCGAGTCGACGTCACAGCAAGAGAGCGGCTTCACGAAGAAAATCGTGCCGTTTTATGCCAACTGTCTAATAGACGTAAGTGGGTACGTCTTAATTATTGCGCGTCATTGACCACGGTGGTCGTTCACAGAATTCAGTGCAGGGTAGGCTCAGCACGCTGCAACTCCGGTTAGCATTTGCTGCTCTCGTTCGGAGTGCAGCGTCTGCTGCCGATTTGTCTCTTGCGTGGTTTTGCATCGACTGCCTTCTGGCTGCTATTGCGTCTACCTCCGAGCATGACGACGAGCGTAACCATCGGCTTCACCTGACTCTTATCTCGTGTGTGCCATCGGTACCATTGCTATTGCTTCCTCGCTTGCTGGATCCCATCCGTTTATTTATGGATGCAGCTCAAGATGAGAAGAAGAGGCAGGAACTTATCGACGCATTATTTGCGGAGATCAAGGAGCGTGTCGGCGATAGAGAAAAAGAATATATGATTCGGTGGTGGGGAGAGTTGCGGATGAAGTGGGCCCATACGGGGCCTGGTCGTGAGGAAATCCAGGGGGATCATGGATTGGACGTTGATCTGACATTGACCGCACGACTGTGATATATTATCCTGATGTCTTGCGTACAGATTACTCAGATGACAAATGCTTTGGACCGTCGTACATAACATGGTTTTTTAATCGATGGTTTTAACGCGTCACGTTGACTGCATAGCAACAGCTATTCATTTGGTTTATTGTTCTGCCCCGAAGCGAGGCACGAGGATAAGAGACCCCCGGAAGTTTCCCTAAAAGACTGTCCGCCTGCGACCCCATCCTGGATCTCAAATCTGCTATTTTTCGGGTGTAAATCTGCTATCCCGGACAGACATGTCACATATCACATATGTGACATACCGGCGAGATGTGACACAATGCACCAGCCCAATTAGTATGTAAGCCTCAGGCCTCAGTCCCAGTGAAAATCGACAAGAATGAGGTAGATAGGTAGCAATAGACGTCTAAGTACAGAATGAGATAGATAGAAATCTAAGAAATTCGAGACGGTAAAACTCTAATTTTGTGCAAAATGCAAAGAACCTTTGCAAAGGTAAAAAAGCAAGCATGTCAAACTTTGTCTGCACACTTTGTAACAAACCTTTGACAAACTTTGCATATGCATGCAATATTGCACATGTACATGCATATTGTAGGTGCATAACTTCTTGCATTTGCACATATGTTAACTTTATCGTATCCGAGTGACCGAGTCGGTGCAGTTGAACCACATGCATCTTCTCCTCCGCCCACCATGTCATTCATCCCCGCCGCGACCCCCGCTCAACACAATCACTCCCTTGTGTTTCTAGCTCAACTCGAAGCCTGATGCCATCAAGAAGCAACAGCCGAGTACCAAGCCGATGCGCGTGAGCCCCAAGATCACGGCGCGGTGAGTTCTATATACTATTTTCATAGCAAGATTAACTCTATCATTCTAGGAATCTTTGCGCCCTCGAGTGGCAATCGAATGGCAATCAAAAGGAACCAGCGAGCGTCTTCGCGACTTACTGGAATGGGTTGTCTACTGCCAACAAAGAGGTGCATCATTTTTTTTCTTATGTTAACATCTATTTAATTCTGTCTACAATTGTTCTAGTTATACAAGCGCAAAGTATCTGTTCAGGTGAGTTCTGTTGCCTGCATTCTATCACATGTACTGACCAAGTGTCCTATAGGTGGCTTCCTCGGGACTGGTTCAAGTGGATGACAACCACGATGACTAGAGGGCATATGGCGGGATGGCGGGCGGGATGGCAGACAAGGCGCGCAGCGAGCAGCGATACCCTACTCACCTAATGATAGCGATACCTATAGATAATGTCATTTGCTCTCATTAGATTTGTTTTTGGATCAAATCGAGTGATATTTCGTATGTAAATGTGTATCAGTAGGTCTAAACAGATCAAGAATCGTATCTAAACGTCTAAATTGTTTCTCGATGTCATTCTTTTTCCGTCTCGAAAAGTCTCATTTGTCTAAATACATCGAAATACATCGATAGATTTCATGGGCCTTTATTTTTTAGATATCTATATACGTATATCTACCCGATTCTTGTCGATTTTCACTGGGCCTCAGTATTCAACCAGTCCTTGCAACACTGCCACTCATTGTAACAGTTGGTGTTTCTCACTCAATCTTGCACCAAATTCTTTCAAATTCGATTCTTTATTATACTGTAGAGATACAACACTAACTTCAGCCACATCCAGCCATGACCATGTTACACTTAGCTTCATAGCTTCAAATGTTGGTGTGACCAGTGACTGGACCAAAATAGCTTCAGTCAGGTGTGATGAAGTGTAACATACTACTGCATTGCTGCATATCCCGTATTCCGGACCTACATCCGATAATATTCCCACGCCTCATCCGGACCTTCGGATGTCCTATCCATGTCTCCAGTCCTCTACCCATCTGGATCCCTGCACCTCTGCACATCCACATCCGCACATCCACGTCCAGATCCCTTTTCCTTCGCAGCTAGCCTGCATCATTCATCCTTGTCCCGTTGCCCTAATGCCACATCCTATATATCCACGCATCTCGTCTGGACCATATCCAATCCGGTCCGATCTGATGTATAGATCTGTTTCCTATCCGATATACGATAAGCTTCGTAATTCATTTCCTGTGCATATAACGTTAACACAGCCTATCCGGTATTCCTTGTTACCGGTACCTCGGTTATATCTATTACCGGTATGCTTACTGATCTGTTAACCTATGTTCATTTCCGACTCGCGTTTGTCAACCTTTGCATATGCTTCATACATAGCCTCGGACTCTGCTTATTGATCCTTCCGTTATTTCTGTTAGTATATAAACTCGTGTATATGTCTTGTAGTACCTCAGTCTGAATATCATATTAGTCCTCGCACTAGTCTTCACTCTAAGTCCTCATATCAGTTCTAGTCTTCCAACTTAGTTATTATCCATCTCAGGCCTAGGGAGTTTTTCCCTAGGCCGGAGCTCTGCTTATCCGATACTCTGCTCATCCGCTCATCCGATCCTCCGTAATTTCCGGAAGTTCATCCGGATCTTTCCTGAGGTCCTCCGGACCTATTCTGCTTCGGACTTTGTCCTTGCAGCCTTTCCTCTGTTTACTTCTACTCAGGACAAGTCCCGAGTAGCCATTATACATATCCGTATCAGGACGAAACCTCATCGTAATTTCCGGAAGTTCCTCCAGAACTTTCCCGCACTCATCCGGAAGTTACTTGCACCCATCCGGAAAGTCCTTCCGAAGTTTCCTGTGCCTTCGGATGTCCTTCGGACGTCTTCGGACTTTCCTCAGACACCAATCTGAAATTAAGGGCACATACTCGGGTAAGGGGCGCAGCGCACGAGCTGAAGCCAAGCCCCTCAGAATCAGTCCTACCCCTTGTGCATGGTCTTAACAAAAACCCTCTATCAAAATTAAGAGTAATCCAGGGAAGAAAATGTTGGGCTTAGGCACACATGATGAAGGCATGAGCACAGGAGAAAAAGCTTAGTAATACATACATGGATGAGTAATGTAGGGAACACCAACTTACCTGGGAATAGCCAGAGCAGTGTTGATTAGTAATCACAGTGCAGAGGAAAGACAAGTCTAAAAGAAATGTTCTTGGATTGGACACAGAGATAACTGTTTGATAGTATAAATATTTTATGAAGTATTTACAGATAATTCAGTCTATATATCAAATAATCTACTCTAAAGTCACATCTCTATTCTAGACATGACAACAGAAAAATTGAGATCAGCTTCCTCTGATGATTTGTTGCAATGACACATGCGAAAATCGACGTTGATACCAATGAACAAACTACACAGCCATCTATGTAGGGTAAGATAAGCAGTCATGTAGTGTAGTGATGGAACTTACTATTTGTTTGGAGGGGTGTCTGCCCAGTCTGGTGGAAGGTTTTTGCCTGGTTGAGGATAAGCGGGACAAATTATGGCAAGTTCCCCTGACTTTGTTCCCAGAATTCCAGAGATATTATGGGCATGGCCTGCTTGTTTATGGGCAATGAGATGGTGGTACTGGCAGCTCATGTGAAGGAGGGATTCATAGCAGTATATACTTAGTCACAAAACATACAAAATAGCAAAAGACTTATCTTAGGTCTCTTTGTGCCTGTGTTGTCAGTCAAACAAGACAAAGCTTGATAATATTTTGAACACTGATTCCTTGGACTCAAACATATACATTTGAAAATGATTGAGGAGTCAGAAAGTAGCAGCCGTCTGAGGGTCAGTACTTGTAGCAGGGTACCATTAAGCACACAATGATTGAGTGGCATGAGTCTGCGCAGATTTGCAGTTGCAGAAATTGAGCGCAATGCTATGGATACTATTAGTATTGAGAACCATGAATTCATAATTGAATGCCAGTACTGGGTTACAGCATGAGACTCCCAAGGGATGCCCAAGTTGCACACATAGCCTAAGATCATGAAAAAACATACACTAAAAGTATTTGCCTGTCCAGACCTGCATGTAATTCAGGATCAGCACTTAAAATGCAAATAGATTTTGAAAATACCTCAACACGATGTAAGGGCATAGTACAATGGAGAGTGACAATGCAGGATTGACAACACAGTTGCTACAATGATATGCAGGCTCATTCTCACAATCATGGAGGCCATGACAGCATCAAAACCCCATTACATCCCCACAGCTTTCGAGTCTCATAAGCTCACAAAGGAAGGTGTCTCTTTCCAGAACCCACAACTTCTGGGGCTCTTCTTGTAATCACAAAAAATCAGTGATACATGATTGACCAAAGGAAGTGAGGTCATTCACTTACTCCTGCTGTGTGTTTGCGTGTGTTTCTGAGTGACTCTTCATTCAAGTTCATATCTGCAACATAATCCATGTAAGCGTCTTCTACAACAAAGTCAAAGTTGAGAGATTCCATAGGTGTAGAAGTAAGCATTGATGACACATTTGTTGATGGCGTGTTGTTTACATTAGGCACAGAGAAATATGTTGTTTTGGCTAAAGGGTGGAGTCTGTTGGTGGCATCAACAGATATGTGAGTGTGATACGATGTAGGAATACAACACAGAGTGAGGCTATACAAAGATGACTCCAAACTGATATCTTTATGTTGTGGTCTTGCACTGCCTAGTCTGCTATACTTGGGACATTCAACCCAGGAGTCTGCTGTCTGTGAATAGCATTGGGGGTCAGTGAGTGATGTGGGGTCAATAGTCCAAGTGCAGTGTAGAAACTACAATACAGCGAGGCGCAAACAAGGCTCCAGACTGTATCTATAAATGTTGTAAGATCGCGCATTGCCTAGTCTGCTATACTTGAGATGACAAGTGCATTTGACCCTAAAGGGGAAGCGAGTGCAGCAAGGATCTAGAGGTATGTGCTGAAGGTGCTACTGGTCAGCCAATCTGAAGTGTGAGAAAGTGCAGGTGCGCGCAAGGCGCTGTGACACTTGGACCTGCACTGGGCAGGAAACAGGATATTTTCATACATGTGTCAAGGAGTATAGGACACTATCAGTATCATTGTCCATCTTTGTCTTGCAAGTAACCTTTGTTCTAAACCGAACCTACTTTCCTGTGCTTTGCACATCTGCTTTCCCGCACTTTCCCGCACATCGGCCGCATTGGACGCGCATTCCTGCTCTTCGGATACCTCGGAAATGCATTAGGAAGGTTCCTCATCCACCCATAGTCCATCCAAACCCCATTGGTATGTGAATTTCCTTACCTCGAGGCTTGTAAAATGTATTGCAGCCTTATTACATGTCCTTACATATTTACTATATTTCCTATCCCTTCCTACTCTGAGTGGGATTTTAGACACTATAAGTTGCCTATTACTTAGGACTACTTTACTACACTTCTCTCAGACTGTACACTTCCCTTGTACTGTATACCTCACCCTATAGGTTTACCTTTGAAGTAGTCCCTAGTAGTGCATGCTTTTTAGCCCCTATTAGGTCCCTTATACCTCTCTATACCTAGGATCCCTTACCTCGCAATATACCTTTGCCCTCATTCCCTTGAAACCTCATTCCTTAACCTCCCTATACCTTGTCCACTCTCTCCCACACTTTCCGCACCTTTGGCCACACGTTCTCGCACCTCGAATAACCTTGGATACACTCCTATACCTCGCGCATACCTTGTCTGCTATTTTCCCATGCTTAGCGCGCTCTCGGGTTCATGCATATCCATCATCTTGCTAGTAGCAAATCCCTTTAGGGTTGAACACGTCTGTTTAGACATAGCAGCTAGGCATTAGCTAGACCCAACTTTGTCCTTGCCACTCAGCAGGACAGTTGTTACCACAGCGCGGTGTAAGACCTATGGTCTTTTCAGCCTTGTATAGGCCATATTTGCCATCCCTCAGACTCTATTATGTCCTGCATTGTTCTTGGCATAGCGCATGGTATTTCATTGTCAGCTGACAGCTGCAGGTCATCAGCTCGCATCGGCTTTTCTTTGGGTCCTTTGCACATCCTCCATCCGTCCTATCCATATCCTCCATTGGTTCATTGGTGAGTACCATACTCAAATAGTATTAGGCTGACTTTATTTTCAAAGCTATTTCATTTATATTCTCATTACATGTGTCACAGACCTCACTTACATACTTATTGTTATCTACTTGGTCCCGAATAGCGCTTAGGCATGCATACATATATATCCCATATTTACGAAGTTCAGGTAGCTTTTTTTCCCCACTTGAAATCTATCACCACTCTGCACACAAAATCAGAAACATCTGCACTAGCGTTCAGTAAAACTCCGGCTTATCTCAGCACGCATTGTTCTGTCGGCCACCTTACTTGAATACATTGTTACTTCGCATGTCCATTGGCTTTCACGCTTTCTATGTATCGACTCGACCGCACTCTCTAAGTGCGCAAACATATTGTCAGCCACATGTTTCTCCGTCGCCTCACACATTTGGCGCATCATATTGCATCAGCTTGTATTGCTTTGCATTGCTTTGCTTCACTCCGCATCGCATCGCATCGCCTTCGGCTTTCGTGTTTCCTTGCTTCTCAACATTACTTACTAGTTTCCCAAGTTCCCCTCAGCATATTTTACTTAGAAGAATCACTCTCAGTAGCAATCCCCCCAGGCCGATACTATACTCGCATCCAGAGGTCTATTTGAGTTTTACCCCACTTCACCCTTTCCTCCCTTTTCACCCCTTCTCAACTAGCTATCATTCCTCGCACACAGCGGGAATGCGCGCGTGTGTTGCGTGAAGCATGGGAAAGTGCGTGCAAGAGATGAGAGATGCGAGGTGTAAACAAATAGATTTCAACTATGTTCTGCTAGGTAGTAGGTGGTAGAAAGTTAGGTGAGGTCCCATTCTAGTATGCACTGCTGGCACTTATATATGGTGCCTAAGCGCTATAATGCGGAGCCAATGCACTTCTGAGTAAGGTATGTAAAGATATATATAAGTAAGGGTCCATGATAAGGTGGAACTATATGCAAATAAGGGAAGTGGAAATATATGCACTAGAGAGCTTGGTGGACAGTGGATGGATGCATCTAGATGGCTGGCACTATATGGTGCTCAAGTGCAGGAAAGCGCATGCACATATACATCATGAGGCGCGGTGTAGAAGAGGAATCTTGACTATAGGCGAAACACTTGAAACAAATGGGTGCTGTACTTCAAGACCAGGATACGAGACAACAACTCGACCTGAAGGACAACTACTGAGAGAAGTTCCTCAAAATAAAGATTTGAGGGAGACTGTATGAGCTAGGCAGGCGCTAGCAGGCACGAGAAGGTAACACGCACTGTAGAAACAACTATCCAGATGGTGGTATTCTGAACTATGTGTTGGGTCTGCTTGCCTAAGCTGCTATGCTTGTGGTGACAAGTGCGTTCGACCCTAAAGGGGAAGCAAGTACAGCAGAGATCTAGGGGTTGGTGCAAAGGGTGCCGTTCGTCGGCCGACGTAGAGCGCGGGAAAGCGCGTGAGGCGCGAGCGCGAGAACAAAGCACTTAGGGCAGCCGATGTGCGGGAAGGTAGCGCTTGAGCGGCGCAAAGCGCAGGAAAAGCGCAAGGTGGGTTTACAAGCAGAGGTTCGTAATAGACGTTAAGGATGTTCTTATTGCCAATAGATACTGACTATGGCATGTGACGGATGAGCTTTACACTGATAGTGAGGTGCAGGGAGCTTCTATATGATTCGATGATGTAAAATATGAACTACAGGCGCTTATATATGTCTAAAAATGCGCCCCTGAAGCGGAGCCGAAGCGAGTAGGTAAGGTATGTAATAAGGGTCCATGACATGAGAATTGAGCAATCATTAAATAGAATATGGTCTGATATGGAGAAAATGATAGGAACACATACCAGTGAGGTTAGTTTGGACAATGGATGGACGTGCGACGTAGGGCGCTTCGAGCGCGGGAAAGCGCGCCTAATGTGCGCGCAAGAATGCTGTGCTTGGGGTGGCTGATGCGTGGGAAGGTAGCGCGCGCTTGGCGCAGGAGAGTTTTGCTTCGCATAGGGAATGATTGGAAAGGTATTGGCACAAGTTGTGCATCAAACTGTACTCTGAGACAGGTCGCATATATAGCCTCTGCAAGGCCACAGAGATATCAGTCTCTACAGCGTGAAGGCGCGCGTGAGTGGGAGGTCCGAGAATGCACGCGTGCGAAGTGAAGGCGCACCTAGAACGTTAAGGGAAAGGCCCTATTTGAAAAGTGGAAGCACAGATGGATGGTTGACAGGAGAATCAGATCTGATATCAAGTGAGGAGGTGATCTATACACTTTCCAGTACACAAGATAAGGGGAAAGTAAGTCCCAGAACCAAAAGAAACCCTTCTGTATTTAAGAATGGAGATTACGCTAAGCGGCGCACTTCCGAGCGCGCTCCCGAACCGAGTAACCATATCAACTCTAATTATAACTAAGTTTAAATAGACTTTCTATATGTAGCGCGGACGTCGGACCGAAGATTTCATTAGTTCAATGGACAAGATAGGAATAACGCACCAGCGAATCAGTAAGGACATGGGACAAATGGACGGACGATAGCATGAAGACCTAGGAGAAGGCGTGCG